AGACCCCAAACACTTTACCATCAGAATAACTTTTTTTTCGGCAGCTACTGTTAATCACCAGGCAGGGGGAGGCTCGACAGAGGTGCTGGCTATTGGTGTAGCGTAAGCCCATTTCTGGGCTGTGAGAGGAGCCCATTTCTCTGCTAATGGGACAACACAGCCCACTCTGCAGGGGAGATGCTTAAAGTCTTCAGATCACAGTCATCCTTGGCGTAACTCAGGAAGACTCAAGTTACATCAGCTTTGACTTGGATCACAGAATAGATGCTTTCTTCTTTCATTGTTGATGATCTATCTGAACTTACATTTTTATAAATAATAGCAGATTTCTCCTTCTGAGCTTCCTCTCAAACCTCAGCTAATATATAAACTTGCTTTGCTCTGCCTTCCACCTCCTGCATTTTCTTGTTGCATTTCCTAGTAGCATTTTCTATCATCTTCAATGACAGCATTAGCTTCCTTTCTTAGAGGAAGTCAGAGGAGCCGACAAGATCAATGATGGCATAAAAGGAGCCATGTTTCAAATTAAAAAACAAAAAATCACCTGCTTTTTTTTTTCTTCCATTCCAATACTCAGATCTCACATTTTTGGAAAAGCCACATATTGGAAAGCCACAGACAATTCCCACTCTGACACTTACAGTGCAGTATATTAGTAATATCTTCTTTTTTAAAAAATCAAAAATGGAAATAAAATGCCTCTGCTTCTCCTGAGTGCAAAAGAGCTTCCCTAGCTGGGTACACATCAGGCTGATGCAGCTTGCTGGTCCAGTGATGCTGAACGGTGCTATCAAGCATCCCTTAGCCCAAAAACAAGCTGCAGGGCTGGATTTGGCTTCATCTGAACACCTCCTCAGCTCACGCTCTGTGCCCAGCTTTTATGTCAGGCAGCAGAGAGCAGCAGCATGCCTAACCTCACAATTTTGCCAGTTCTCAGAAATAACTGGAGAAATCTGGGAGAGAAAAGAGCACTGCATCCCCTCCCTTCTGACTCCACATATGCTGTTGGTTCCCAAACTCAACTGTCAGCTCCCCTCAGTCTGAGGGGCACAGAGGAGTCTCGTGCCTTCCTGCTGCCCCTGCTCTTCTGCAGAGCTGTTGGATGGTGTGATCTGCATGATGACTGTGTGATTATGTTAACCAAAACCTGAAGCTGTACACCTAGCTTCTCTCGAATCAGCCTTAAGAGAAACTCAGAGGTCTGGATTTGTGCCAATGTAACAAACAAAAGGAGTACACAGACCAAGGGAGTTGTGAACTCCACTGTTTTCCTGCATCATTTCCTTGTCTTTCTTGCAAGTGCTGAAGAGTGACATTGGGTGTATGAGCAAAGTTGATTACTACCTTATGCATGTGGCTTTGCATCTGATGCCACTTCCACCCAGCTGCTCACCAGCCCCTGTGTTAGAAGTCTCCTGGTTTTGTCTCACTTTCCACTTTCTCCAGATCTGCTAAATTTCTATTGAATCTCTCAGAACTTCTTGATATTTTTGACCTTTTGTAGGCACTCAATCTCTGTTCCGCTTTGGGGGAAACTCCACTGCAAAAAATCCCTTCTGCTCCACCTACCTCGCCTGGACCGGCTTCCCCATTCTGCTATTCCCAACATGTCCCTTCTGAAATGTAAGCTACTAAGTCTGGTCTCATATGTGAAACATGTGATGTCGCACATGTTGAAACATCTAATGACAAAGTAACTTCAAAAATAAATACAACATCCTAGCTTGTTGGCTTCTTGAAGGTTTTTAAGCTGCCATTATCCACGGACTTCCTCTTGGCTGAAGCCTGTGAGTGACAACATGTGCAAGCAGAGAGTTCATTAACAGTCAGGATGTTTGAGGGTGGTGCTCCCTGTGCAAAGCATATTTAATTTTATCAGCTAATCAAGCTATTTTTAATCACAAAGCACTCTTTGAAAATGACAAGAGTATGCGAGAGCTGAAAGATGGATGGCTCGATATAGAGGCAACTATTTCTATTTTGAAGCCTCTCCTGAGAAGATAAAAATTATTCTCAGGCTGAAATTCTGTATTCCAGCATTTACTGTTTCTCTTGTCAGTAGAAGCACCGTGGGAGACAGAAGAGCAAAAATCAAGTTAGAGATAATACACAGGAAGCCAATGTTATGTTAGATATAAAACAGCCAGTACTTTCAGTGACAAGCTTGGAAACTAGAAAGGAAATACTGCAATACTAAAGTATGCAGAGCATGTTATGCCTATATTCTGTTTTCCCCCTTTACAAAATAACATTAAGTACAGAATTATCATCAAGAAATGGCAGGAGCTAGACGCCAAATGGGCAGACTGCTTCGCAGATCAGTGAAGAAGAACATGCCTGTCTCCCTCAGAAGACAGAATAGTCCTGATCTCAGAAGGAGGTACAGATCATTTGTATATGTACATGTATATGTAAATAGCATCTTTATGGTTTATAGCAAAAGCCCAAATGGGAGAAAATTATCCTCCTTATCTGTGCTGAAGAGAGAATACATTAGTACAGACTGAAAACCAAACAAATAAAGCTGGTCTCTTCCCAGCTCTATTCAGCCTAGCAATCTGCTCCTCAATGCTCAAATTAGGTACTTCTTGTGAACCCTCAGGAAGGCTGGAGCTCAGCAATTTCAAACCTAGCTCAGGCACCTGCTGGGTGGCAGAATAAATACTGCCTGTCCTGGAATCTCCCCATGCCAAAAAAGCTCTAACCCAAAACAACTGAAGTAAACACAGCCTAATCCTCTTGCAGTAGAGGAACCATTGTGAAGGTGCGGAACAAAACATTTATATTGTCATTCTTTTTTGGTTTGATAATCTTTTAACAAATGTGATTTTATCTTTACTAACGGATGTAACCTGTGGTAAAGTGATTTGCATCTTTCACTTTTTCTAGAATAGGAGAATAGACACAGAAGTTTGTAGCTCCATTGTCTGAAAAAAAATCAGCATAATATGCACATAGTTTTATTTTTATGGTTTTCCAGTTGTCTGACACTGTCTTACTCTATGAGACATTTGATTCGAGACATCTTTAGTTAGGTAGCTTTAAGACCTTGATTTTAGTTCTTAGACAATTATGTGTCATAGAAACCAATATGAAATTAGCTTAAGGTATCGCTGTTAACAGCATGGCTCATTGGTCAGAATTGGCATTGATGCTACTGCCAACTCAGTGTTTTCTCTCACAAAGGGGAAACCCCAGCATCTCAGAGCTATCCATTCTCATCTGCGCTTCTCAGAATCCCATCTTGGTAAATCTACCCAAATTACTGTTTTGTGTGATGCCACAGAAGTCAACTACACCGGAGACACCTCTCAAAATACTAGATATGCCTGTTCTTTAGATAGGGGAAGGGTTTTTTTGACAAGACTATGACCTAATTTTGGCAACTGTGGTTTTTTTTCTGTTGTCCTCCTTTAGTTGCTTGAGGGTCTGGATGACATCCTGGTATTTACCAGGAGTCAGAGGTGAAATTCAAACTGGCGAGTATGAAGGCACAATTTCCTTTCCAATGCTATAATTTCCACACTTTTCTGCTCAGGAGCTTACAAGTCTTGTTTGGCACCATCGACTCACTCAGCATACTATTAAGGGCAAGAAGCCCAGTCTTTAACACTTATTTAACAGGGGTCAAATAAAGCATTAGCAGGCAGACTGCTGGCTCACCACCTGGACAGAAGCATGCTTTTTCTCTCACATTGATTTTTGCTTCTTGTACTTTGCCTGACAAATTTGGAATAGGATTATTCTTTAATAACTGGATATTCACACTATGTGCAGCAGCTTCAGACTGTGTATCTCTATATCTGTACCAAAGAAGGAGCATTTTTAGAACCCATGTAGCTAGTGGGTTGTTTCTGCTCTCCATTGCACGTGGTGTGATTGACAAAGGTTGTGTCATGTGCTTTACCACAGGTGCATATATACCACATAGACTCTTCTGAGAGTCAAAGCATCACACACCAAGGGCAAGAACTGTGTTATCCTCTCCAAATTTCACTCTGCCTACCATGCTTAAATATTAGTAGTATTTTACAGAGGATGCCACCTATTGCCTAAAGGTCAGAATAATCAGAAGCTCCCACTACACCATTAGCAGAATAGGGACCTCATTTTCCTGACAGCTGGATGCCTTTACCAGGAACCCAGGATCGTGGTCCATCTCTTTCTGTGAGCAACTTTCAAGGCCAGGCACAGGCTGGGCTGGAGATTTTGAGACTATACATTTGCATTTAAACACCTGAAGTCAACATCTTGTTTACTTTCCACCCCACAAGAGACTTACTTAAGCTAATCTTAGCTGTCTAAAAAACTAGAAGTCTAAGTTTGAGCTGGTAACTTTATGCTCCTACTGTAGTTAATAAAGAGGAAGGTTATCAGGAAGCTATCAGACATCCAAGACAGGTTGAGCGTCCCTCTGCGGGTGCCCATTTCTTCCTACCAGCTGCAAAGGGTGACCAGTTCAGACAGACACGGAACTTTTAGATGTATAAACTGGAGCAATGAGTCATGATCAAGATGTCCGCATCCCATCAGCACACACACGTAGACAAAAGCGTGGCTGAGAAACCCCGCAGCTCTCTACAGCGCCAAACCGCAGCACTCCTGAAACTCACTGCAGATTTTAATAGCTGTCATCCATCCTAAAAATACATTTGCACCGCTTCGTGCTGCTGTGGCGTGTTGCGTGTTCTTTCCCCGGAGCTCCGGCGAATAGCAGGACCAACCGCTCCTCCTCGGGACACCCTCGGCTGCTCGGTACGTGGCCTGGCGAACATACCTCCTTTTCGGTGCGCCCCTTCCCGGGCGGGGGTGACTCCCGCCGTGCCGAGCCCGCCCCTCCGGCCCGGCCCGGCCCGGCCCAGGGGGAGGGAGGGAGGCCGGGCGAAAGGCGGCCCGGAGCCCGGCGCAGCGGCAGCAGCAGCTCGCACCCCGCCGGCGGCTGCTCAGGCGGCGGGGGCAGGTGCGGGCGCTTCCGCGTCGCGCTGCGAGGAGGAGGAGGAGAAGGAGGAGGAGGCGGCGGCGAAAGCGGGCAGGCAGCGCGGACAGCAGCCCCGAGTCGGGCCGGCGTGCCCGTGGGCGTGCTCCCCGGCGGGGAGGACCGCCCGCCGCCCACATCCCCGTCGCCGCCGCCGATAACTTTGCCTCTCTGCAAAAAGCCGCCCTCCGGCAGCCAGAGTCGGCGGGGCACCGAGCCGCCCGCCGCAATGAAGGGCCGGCGGCGGTGGCGGGGCGAACACCGTCGCTTCGCCGCGGTGCTGGTGCTGTACACACTGCTGCTGCTCCTGCTGGTGCCCTACGCGCTGGACTACGGGGCCAGGCGCGGGCGGGCGGACGAGGAGCCGCTGCTGCGGCGCTGCCCCAGCCTGGAGGAGGCGCTGAGCGAGTGGGGCTGGGAACAGCGGCCGCCGCTGGACGAGGAAGAGGAGGAGGAAGATGAGGCGGGCACGGCCGGGGCGGCGGGGAACGGCAGCACCGGGGCGGTGGAGAAGCGGCACATTTACCTGCACGCTACCTGGCGCACGGGCTCCTCCTTCCTAGGGGAGCTCTTCAACCAGCACCCCGACGTTTTCTACCTCTACGAGCCCATGTGGCACCTGTGGCAGGCACTCTACCCCGGGGACGCGCTGAGCCTGCAGGGCGCCCTCCGAGACATGCTGCGCGCCCTCTTCCGATGCGACTTCTCCGTCCTGCGCCTCTACGCCGCCCCGCCCGCCCCCCGCGACCCGCTGGCCCCCGCCCCGCCCGCCGCCGACAACCTCACCACGGCCAGCATCTTCGGCTGGCGGACCAACAAGGTGATCTGCTCGCCGCCGCTCTGCCCCGCCGCCCCGCGGCCCCGCGGGGAGATCGGCCTCGTCGACGGCGCCGCCTGCGAGGAGAAGTGCCCGCCGCGGGCGCTGCGGGAGCTGGAGGCCGAGTGCCGCAAGTACCCGGTGGTGGTCATCAAGGACGTGCGGCTGCTGGAGCTGGGCGCGCTGCTGCCGCTGCTGCGGGAGCCGGGCCTCAACCTGCGGGTGGTGCAGCTTTTCCGCGACCCCCGCGCCGTCCACAACTCCCGCCTGAAGGCGCGGCAGGCGCTGCTGCGGGAGAGCGTCCAGGTGCTGCGGAGCCGCCACCGCGCCGAGCCGCGGGGGTCGCCCCGCCACCAGCAGCAGCATCTCCTGCTGCCGCCCGGGCTGCTGGGCGGCGGGCGGGCGTCGCAGCCGCAGCACCGCGCCGAGTTTTTCCTCGGCGGCGCGCTGGAGGTGATCTGCCAGGCTTGGCTCCGCGACCTGCTCCTGGCCCGCCGCGCCCCGGGCTGGCTCCGCCGCCGCTACACTCAGCTGCGCTACGAGGACCTGGTGCGAGAGCCCCGCGCCGAGCTGCGCCGCCTGCTGCGCTTCGCCGGGCTCACGGTGCCGCCCGCCCTGGAGGACTTCGTGCTCAACATGACCCGCGGAGCCGCCTACTCCTCCGACCGACCCTTCCTCATCTCCGCCCGGGACGCGCGGGAGGCCGTGCACGCCTGGCGGGAGCGCCTCAGCCGCCAGCAGGTGCGGCAGGTGGAGGCGGCGTGCGGCGAGGCCATGAGCATCCTCGCCTACCCCCTCAGCGGCGGCGACGCCCGGTAGCGCCCTCGCTCCGCGTCCCGGACGGGCCCGAGGGCAGGCGGGTGCTGTCGGGCAGAGCTGAGCGCGGGGGTTCACTGCTGGCACGGTGGGCGCTCCCTGGGGGCAGCCCCGGCTGAGGGACACCTGCCTCGCCTCGGGTGCAGGCAGCGCGGCAGGGTCCAGGCCCTCCGTCCCGCTGTAGCTTCAGTGGGGCTGTGCAGGGCAAGGGGGGATGATTTATTTAAGAGAAAGGTTTGGTTTTGGTGCCTCCGAGTACGGCATCAGTCTTGGAGCCATTTCAACTTGAAGCTGTGATCGTGTACAAAGCACAGATGTGCTTCCAAAAAAAAACTGCATCAAAACTTAAAAATCCCCCAAATGAAGACTCTCAGCGAGGAACTAATAGGGCCTAGAGGGTGCTGCTGTGAGAGCATTGCCCTCCCTGAGCGCTGAAGCACTCTCGGCTCTGTCCTTCCGCTATTGAAACACGTACCAAGAGGCTTCTGTGAAGTCGCTGCAGGGGTCAGTGGAGGCCTGGGCGGGCAGGACGGTGCCTGCTTAGGGCAGGACTTGGGGGTCTTCTGCTCCCAACCTGCTCTGCGGGGACGGTCTCTGCCCCTGCGGGTTGCTGATGCTGTGGGGAGGGGGCGCTTGCTGAGGGACAGGGAACCGTGTCCAACTCTGTCCAGCATTCTGAGCAGCAGGGTAACCGGCTGTGCAGAGAGGGTGAGCATTCTCCTGCTTACATGTTTCAAAGATGTTTGTGGCAGAAATCTTTCCTTTTCCAAAGCAATCTGTAATTCTTTTGAAAGTAGGATATTTTTTAATATGTACTGATACAGTTTGGTGATACTTATGTGAGATACAAGTGACTAATATATTTCTTTGGGACATGTGTAGGGTGACTGTAACTGGAAAACAAATGCTTCGTATTTCCATTTTGTTTTCTCAGTCAGAGGAGAGAATCACTTTTCTTCCCTTGCTTCCGGGCTGACATATTGTGCCGTGTACAGGTTCCTCCTGGTCACATCCCTTCTGAACAATAACATCCTCTCAGCTGGCAACGCCTGGACAAAAGCAAATGTTTCCTAAGAGGCAAAGACAAACCAATCATGAAGTTCCCAAATAAAACCCTGTATTAAAAAGGGAAAAAAGAAAACCCTCAAGTTTTAGTTTTATTTTAGATTTTAAAATTACATTTTCCTGCAAATATCCTGCAACTTGTATGAGAAGGGTGTGCATGTGTGTGTATCTGTGAGTACCTTTGTTTCTTAATTTCTTAATGTGGTTAGAAGGTTCAGTTGTAATTTAGGGATGATGTTTCCTAACTTCATAGAGGCTGCTTTTGAGTCCATTAGAGTCTGTCAGTGTTTAAACAGCCCCACGAGAGTGTACAGGATTATAGGGATGTTTACATGCAGTCCTCAAATACAACCCGAGAACATGAACTTCAAATTGAGGATAATCCAGGATCAGGAAAGAAGCAGCATTTATATAAAGTGCTGGAAATAAAGGCAGTTCAAAGATGTTATGTTATCTCGGAGTAAACATTTCAACTGTGTTGTAGGTTTTTGTGCTGAGTGTTGTGCTGTAAAGCATGTCCGTAGTTAGGATGAACGTTTATTTTAGCTCCTTTTCTTTCCTGACCTTCCCACCTGAGAGTATGTTGGCACAAGAAGCAGGTTTCTTTCATTTTATAACGGGAAAATGTACTCATAAAAATGTGTTTGAGCAAATCTGTCCATTTTCCAGTAGCGTGCTTCATATGATTCTGCATCCTGCGGTTTCTGTTTGAAGTAAAAATTACAGGGGCTCATTGTGTGCTGGAACAACCTTATGTATTATCTAAGGAATATTTCTATATTTTCTCACAGTGCCTGTGACACCAAATTTGTCTCTGGCTGTTCTAGTGGCATTTAGTAATGGTATTTGTGTAGATGGACAATACTTGTATTAATGCCTTGATAACCTGTGTCAGGTAACCTATTTTGGAAAGCTTTTCTGAGACTACACCCAGCCTGGCCTGTACTGACAGGTTTGGGAAAAAAATAAGATTTTCATGCATGCCAAAAGATGATACGGTACTTATTTTCTTACATTAGATGGGAGATTAAAATCCAGTATATCTTGTTGATTTGTTCTTAGCTAGTTGCAGTCACAGAATTGTATGATGCAACTATTAAACATTTGCTTCACCTCAGCAGGGAATCTCATCTCGCTGTTTCGGGTGGTAAATGTCTTTCATACACTTAGTTTCACTTACAATCATTCATCGTGATAAAGAAAGAAGTGTGGCCATCTAGCTTAACTTGATTCTTATAGCTGGAAAGAAATCCACTAATTATTCAGTACTTTCTGAAGCAGTTTCCATATTTGAACTATGAAGATGGTGAAGAGTCTAGAGGGGAAGCCACATGAGGAGTGTCTGAGGCCACTTGGTTTGATCAGCCTGGAGAAGAAGAGACTGAGGGGAGACCTCATAGCAGCTTATCTCTTCCCTCACCAGGGGAAGAAGAGGGGCAGAGACTGATCTCTTCTCTGTGGTGACAAGTTAAATGACATGAAGGAACAACATGAAGCTGTGTCATGGGGGGGGTTAGGTTGGATATTAGGAAAAGGTTTTTACCCAGAGAGTGGTTGGGCACTGGAACAGGCTCCCCAGGGAAGTGGTCACAGCACCAAGCCTGACAAAGTTCAAGAAGTATTTGGACAATGCTCTCAGGTACACGGTGTGACTCTTGGGGATGGTCCTGTGAAGGGCCAGGAGTTGGACTCGGATGATCCTTGTGGGTCCCTTCCAACTCAGGGTATTCTATGATTCTATGATAGATGCATTTTCTGTATCAAAAATTATTTCTATCAACAAATGTTGTTCACTAGCACAATTGCTCTTTAATAGTGATTAATATTTTCTTTCACCCCAAGCTGTTCTTGTAAGGTTGTTTTTTCTTAATTTTTGTATAGTGCAAAAAGGGCTCTGTTGGGCAAAGTGTACAAAATATGGCAAGTGCAATTTGTGGTTTGTATTCAGGGCATCTGAGTTCATTAGAAAACTCCTCTAAAAAATCCACAGGGGATATCCGAAGCTGAAAAAGGAGTGAGTAGCCCAGAGTGGCATCTTAGAGTAGTATCTGCAAGAGTATATAAGGCTGGATGACAATTAAGCGCTTAATGACTGATGGTGCGATGTGTGCTTCGGTCACTAGAAGGCTTTCTAAAATTCTTCTACCCAAGGAGGACAGCTAGGGCTCACCAAAAAAATGCATCCCATTTTACTCTTCAGGGTGTTTTGATGGCATTAGAAAACATCATTCAGGATGCTTACAGCATATACTTGTTGGTCCTGAAACTCAGACCTTGAGGGAAAAACAAATGTATTGTCAAATATCAGTGTTGGTACTTACCTGAAAAGACAGAAAAGATCTGATTAGGATGACCAGCATGAAGTTTCACTAGCAGAGGTCTTTGGAAGTAAGTAGAACTTGCTGAAAGCAAGACACTCGTGGTTAGACTGCATTTTGAGAACAGCTAGACATTTATGGCTTGGCCATTTTGAAGTAAAATCACGCTTCTACTAAATGATGTAGGAAACGGAACTCTAATTCTTTCTTAGAGCAGAGGATGGCATGGTAAGCAAGGGAAGAACAGTAAACACATTTTTATAGCCAGTCTGAACTTGGCAAACTTAGAGGGCAGGACTTTGCCATAGAGTTGTAGTAGTTCAGACTGAGATTTGTGAAAATTACCTACTTATGCTACATTACATATAATGGATTAACAACTTTAAGGCATTAAAAAGTCATTGTAGGAAATGGGTGCAAAACTGACAACTCCTCACAAGACTTATTTCTGTCATGTTTTTACTTCTAGTTGTCGCATATCTACCTTAAGAGAGGTAGAAACTTGAGTACTGTAATTATTCATAAAAGGCTGTAATATTTCCACACTGGAATTGTTAATTGCTCTTTTACAACATCATCTGTTATTTAAATTGTTTCTTTCAAGGAGGCAAACTATACTGACATACTTGTGGGAAGTGCTGAAAGTCCAGGGCCAAGAAATACTTGGCCTCTGCCTTAATTTTACTCCTTAGAACATTACTGATGGAGTCCTTGTAGATATCCACAGTACATACTTGCATACTTCAGATGCAATAGAAATAGTTTAGTATCAGTTGCAGTATTTAACAGAGGTGTTAGATGGTTGTGGAGTTACTTATTTAACAATTTCAGTATTGCATGGGTCATTTTACCCCCCATCCCCCCCATCAGCTTGTGCATCAAGAAAAGTCCCGAGTTTCTGCATTAAGTTCTCAATATCACCACTTTCAGTAAAGACCAATGATAAGAAATACGTGCAGAGTTTCTGGGTTTATTATGGTAATGCAAATAAACAACTAAAGCCCTGAGAGCCAGCAAGCCCAACAGCGTGTTCTGTTCCTTTCTTGAACACAAAGAGCTGTCACTGAGACTCTCTGATGGTGCATGTCATTTTTCAGAGTCACCATACAGTCTGTGCAGCACTGGGACTACCTTAGGTGTTACTTTACCATTCCTGTTTAACTTGACACGACACCTCCTGCCATGGAGAATGATACAGGAAAAGTACAATTGTCAAACCTTGCACTAGCAGTTTTTAACACCCAATTGGTGGAGCGTGTGTGAGGGGAGAAGGTCCAGATTGTCCTTGGCCGTAATTTAAAGAGATGAATGTTAGATCCTAACTCGTTGAGGTGGTGGGTTTCAGTGATGAAGGGACCTGTTGTTTGTTGCTGAGGCATATTTCTTCTGGCAGTCTTAGCTCTGGACAACAAGCTGGAAGCTGATTTTAATGTTTTAGGACTTGGAATCTGTCTGGGTATTAAGTACTGGGAAATTCTTGCTTCCAGCACCGAGGTGTTAAGCTCTGCTGCTAACCTACGGCACCTGCAGCACCATTTCTTGGTGTTGTTAAGTGGGAATCCAGGCTTTCCCTGGCACTTCCAAACTTATTGCCCTAACTGTCCAGCTTCACCTGTACATAGGCTGAAGCTTTTTGTCATGGGCTTAAGGTTAAAGGCTCTTTAAGGGAATTTCAGTTGAAACAGTGCATATTCTTTTGGACTTAAGATGGGTCTAGAATGTGGTGGCCTTTTGTCTGTTCAAATACTCCTGAAGATACTTCTTTCAAATAATTTGTCACTTCAGTGCTTTGGGACAGGAACTCCAGTTTGGGTAGGGGAAATGATCTCTGTGTAGAGGATGTCCCCTTTGTTTTGGTTTGGCTTTATTTTTTTTTTTTTTACCTCTGCCTTCTATTCTGATTTGGCCAAATATATTAACGTTTGTATAAAATGGATAGCATGCGTTCAGTAAAAGTGGTTTTGGTATGTGTGTATATCTTTACTTTATACCAAATAAAGTCTGCACTGGTTTTATCTCCACTGAGCATGCACAAACCTCTTTCTTTCCCGTAGAACACTCGGTGTGGTACAAGACATATGGCAGTGGGAATCCAAAGCATGTGGCTATGGCAGGGGCTGCAGCACTGGGGCTGAGCAGGAAGGAGTCTGCCTTTTCTGGTTCCCACTGATCCCTTCTCCCCTAGCCCACTTTTCTTGTTGTTGGTATTCCTAAGGAGGGTTCCCAAAGCAAATGCTCAGCTTTCTGGTGCTTAAATAATGTAAAGTACTGTAGGTGAGAGAGAGAAGACACTGATGCCAGATGGGGTAAACGTGAGGGGATGAGGAAAGGAATTACCTTTAAGTTGTAGAAAGTGGGATTTTTTGGGCGGATAGCTTGGGTGTGAGAGGGATGAGGAACTGGGATTTGATGAGTAGGAGCAGCTATAAATTGTGACTGGTTTAATTAGAAAAGGCAGCTAGGAGTATGTGTGAGGGAAGGAAGGAACAAGGGGAGAGCAAGCTGGGAGGAGAAGAAGGGACCAAGAACTGCAGAGCTGCAGTGAAGTGCTGGGAATTGCCTGAGGGCATTGCTGAGGAGACAGAGGGAGAAACCTCAGGGGGATGGGGGGTGAGTCTGAGTCTGAACCGCAGGGGGAAAACTGGTAGCTCTTCCCATGTCTCAGTTCAAATGGCTGTGCAGACAAATGGCACTGGACCAGCCCTCCGGGTGGAGTGCTAGTCCGTAGGGCAATGGTGACTTGCCTTCTGCTACAGCTTTTTCAGCCCACACAAACACATTTCTCCTGCAAACCAGACTCTTCTCTTTCCCTGAATTCTGTAAGGAATTTATTACCTCTCCCCCCGCTCTCCTAGCAGCATCAGAGTGGGATGCATGGAAAGAAGAGCTCTCTTGAAAAATGGAAGTTTTAAAGCTTAAACTTGTAAAAATAAAGTCTTTGCCCACCTCCTTCTACTGTCAGGCTCAGCTTGGGAGCACAAGGGGTAATGTGAGAGCTGTCTCATCCATCCGCCTTTGCCTGAGCTGCATTTGGGAGTGCCTTTGCAGCTGCCAGAACAGAGGAGCCTGGAGGAGGTCCTTGTCCATGTCCTTGGTTCAAGTGACAGATGTTTGCACACAGGATTTAAAAGTCCCAGTTCTAGCAGTGACTCATGTGCATATCACTGATACCTATTGTTTTCAGTATGAGCTTTTCAAAAAATGCCAGGAAACCTCTTGTATATGCACACTGTTACAGAGACAATCAACATCTGCAAAGTCAAACGCTGAAGGAGTCAGTGTCTGCTGCCTCCCTTTTCATACTCCTTGTCCGTCATTGTGTTGGTTTTTTTTCTCCACTGTAGCACTTGGTCAACACTCAAGGTTGGACATGCCTGGGGCAGGACTGGATCGTGCAACACGTCTGGCACCACGAGCATTGCCTGGTCTGTGCCAGAAGTTAGAAAGCGTGCAGGAATCTGGTGGCAGAGTGAAGGAGGGGAAAGGATGGAGGCAGTATCTCATGGCTGAGGTATTCAAAAGCTCTCAGAGGAACTGGGCTCAGTCCCTGGTGCCACATTGTCTGTGAGATGTTGGACAAATAAGTTAGCTTTTCTGAAGAGGCCAAGTCCGTATCAGGCTGACCAAAGCTGAGCGACACCTCTGGTATGCAGGACTTGGCTTTGCAGAACTGCTGTAGCAGCAGTCAGTTGTGCAGGTGTGCCTGGTCAGGGGGCAGCAGTGGCTCATGGACCGAGTGACTCTGAACCCCTGAGTGAGCTAGTTGTGAAAAGGGCAAATGTGCAGTGGCATTAACATGTTCTCTGCCCTAGCCATCCAAGTCCCAAGTGAATGAATTCTTATTTTTAAGAGATACAGAGAAATGGCAAGTGAAATAACAGCCCTCTGTCTTGGAGAAGACCAAGACGTGTGGTTTATTTAGTCTCCAAATCAAGGTTGAAAGAGGACAGCAGTGCACAGCAGCAAGAACAGCAGTGTGGGAGAGAGGTAATCAAGATATGAACAATACTGGCATAAGAACAGATTTTTGTACATCAGCAGTGAATCACTTCAGCCTGGAAGCTGGAAGAAGATGGGGATTTGTTTAACCATGAGAACAGCATGGCAGGAAGGGATGGAAAAAAAGACACAATTCATTTTAAAAGACAAGCTCCTATAATTTAGAAACAGAAAGGAACCAATATGATACACTATCATATTATGGCAAGATACAAAGCTATGTGGTCCAGGAGTCCTGTAATCTGTGGAAAGTTCTGTGCAGAGTGCTGAAGTCTCCTGAAAAATCAGCTTTAATGTACAAAAAGACTCGAGCCCCAAAGATGCTTTGTACATTTTGGTTTTGCTCTGTGAAAAAGAGGCAATGCTGACTTCCATGGAAACGTTGTTAAATAGTTTGTTTTGGAGTACTCTGCAATAGATTAGTGTCTCATAACATTTCCTATGAGGAAATCTGGTAATTGTGCCTTTGCCAGTATTTGAATAAAAAATATTGGAGCTGTAGAATAAATCAAGAGAGCACAAACCCCACACCATTAACCCAGTAATTTTTGCCCCATTTTTTTTTAAGGTGAGAGGAGCTGAGGGGAAAGGAGAGGTGGGGTGTGCTTGTGTAAGCAAAGGCTGTGTGGTTGTTCACGTGCAATGGTTAGAAATCCCAGCTGTGCCAGCAAGTGCAGGATGTGAGGCCACACAGCCCTAGCACTGATCTCGCTGTGGTTGAGATGTCTTTAATGCTTTGCCATACAGCTGTGAAATGATTAGCCCCTCGTTTATTTATGCACAGGCATGAAACTAGTTTCAGGTGTGCTCCGGATAGCATTTAAAGTGCAGCACTTGTTAAAAATAATGGGAAAGGGCTGTAGGAGATTAGGCCAAGTACAGCAGAGGCCTCTCTGATGGAAGGTTTGGAAATATTTCCTTGGCTTTTCACAGTCATTTAAGCTGCTGCTTGAGCAAGGATGACTTGAGTGAGTTGTTCTGGGTGTTTCCCCGCCTTTTTTTTTTCTCTCTCTCTCCTTTTTTTTTTCTTTTTTTTTAATAAAGCCAGTTTAAGAATAATTAGTGATACTTAGCTCTATCTCAAACAGATGTAGAGAGGACAGGATGGGACATTTGCTACCTGTCCCAACCTGTCCTTAAAATCATTAATGATGAAAATTTCATATCCTCCATTAGTCATTTACTCCATTATGTCAGTATATCCACTGTTAAAAACTGTTCTCAATCTTCTGTTTGAATCATTCTTGATTCAGTTTAAGCCTGGATGCAGAAAACAGCATATTGTCATTGCTCTGTGCTAACTTGTTCTTCTCACAAGCAAACAACTGTAGGATTCCTTTTTTACACAACAAGCCCTCCCAGCTATTCAGCTTTTAAGCCCATTCGTTTCCAATTCAGGTCTCAATTTTACAGTTTTTGTTTTGATACAGCACTTTGATTTGTTCATCCATCATCATATTGATCAACTTCCATACACAAGCCCTAGTTCTGTCTTGATGCAACTAGACCAGATAAACATTTCAATCATTTATATAACCTCAGTTTCTTGCATAGAAAGAGGTGCTTTTATTTACCTGAAAATTGGTTTTGAATGTTCACAAAGGATTTTTTGTCCAAGATGTGGAAAATGGTAGAAAGCAGGACCCAGCCTTGATTTGCTTATTTCTGATGAAGTGAGTGACTGTGGTTTTATACTCTGTAGTAAATGAGAAGCTGCTTTAGCTTGAATTTCATTTTGTACCTTAAATTGTCCATTTGAGGCCATATCTTCCTATTTATTCTCTGAAATTCTTTGTAAAGTACTTGTGCTAGTGGTGCTAGTTGGCTCTTCTAAGAACTTACAATTAAAGCAGTTACATTCAGATTGGATGATGATGATAATAATAATATCTAGCCAATATTTCTAAAACTTTGTTCTTTAATGGAAAAGGAGTTAAAATCTTGACTAGTAGTAGAGGTTATGTGTAGCTGCCTTGATACTTCTGCACTAGAAAATGGCCATCCTGGTGCTTTTAGCTCCCCACCATAATGTGTTAATGTGTTGCTTGTAAACTGGTGATGCTAACCTTGAAGGAAGCAGCTAGTGAGCAGTTTTAAGACTGCATAAACTTGACTTCTTTCTAAACTGAGTTTCAGGTTCCTTGGAGCTGCCAAAGTGTGTCTGGTCATGCCTGTATCTACAGCTTCACAAATTCCCTCCGGGAATAATTCCAGTATGGAGACACAGAGTTCCTGAGGGCTGACCCCAGAGTACTCTTCAACAGGCAGAGGCAGAGAAAAAAACTCCTTTACTGGCTGCAGATCAGGTGAGTGATGCCCCAGTCCTCGTGGCAAAAATCCTGTCCTTCAGAAGAGTTAGGTTATGCCTTTAACAAACATTATTTTAAAAATCTCTACTATTGCATGGAAGAAAAGGTCCAGGGACAAGTGGGAGAGAAGTCTCTTGTGATCTGTTACAGAACAGCTGGAAAAATTTCAAGCTAGACATTTAATTAATAAAACTTTTTCATCTTCTAACGATGCTTTGATCTGGGGAATGCACAAGCAGTGTAGGGCCCTACAGAATAATTCCCGAGACTTCTTTCTGAATGCCTGCAGGTCTTCATCACTGCTCTGCCCGTGAAATGTTCATTACAATTTCATTACAATTTTACCAGTGAAGGTAAAAACCATCTAGGGAAGGTGGTAGTTACTCCTTAAACTAAACCAGCTGTAGTATTAGAAGTATCTAACTGTAAGCAGTAATTTGCATCCTTTGAACTCCTTTATATCCTGACTTGACAGTCAGGTTTTGGAATAACAGCCAAAAGGTAAAATTAGGTTGATATTGTAACCAAGTGCTTTCTTACGTGCACAGTATTATTCTCCAAATAAAGTGTGAAACTCAGCTAGGAAAAGAATTCACACCCATCTTTGCAGAGTTTGTGGATTAAAGGCCCAGTATGGACCACCTTCCTTTTTTGAAGCTTTTTGAATATTTTTTTTCTTTATTTACTGCTGCCTCTGCCTCACACAACTGTAGCATC